CAGCAGCAGTAACAGCAGCAGCAGCAGCTCCAAGCAGCGAGCAGCAGCAAGGGCTCTTTCAGGGGGGTGGGGAGCAGCCCACATTTGCTGCTGCTGCTGCTGCTGCTGCTGCTGCTGCTGCTGCTGCTGGTGCTGCTGCTGCTGCGGGAAAGGCGCGCAGCAGCAGGATCAGGAGCAGCAGCGGCAGCAAAAGTAAACGGGTATCCATGGATCTCGTTGACTGCAGCAGCAACAGCAACAGCAGCAGCAGCAACAGCAGCAGCAGCAGCAACAGAAACAGCAGCAGCAGCACAAGGCCCACCAAGAGAAGGGCCAGTGAGAAGAGGGGCCTCTCCACCCCTGTTGATTGCATGCTGCCGATGCAGCAGCAGCAGCAGCAGCAGCAGCAGCAGCAGCAGCAACTGCAGCAGCAACTGCAGCAGCAGCAACAACAGCCGCTGCTGCTGCAGCAGCAACAATTGATGCAGCAGCAGCAGCAACACAACTCACTGCCTATCCAAGGGGCTTCTGGCCCTGGTGACATAAACAACATCTCCCCACAGCAGCAGCAGCAGCAGCAGCAGCAGCAGCAGCAGCAGCAGCAGCTTCTTCAGCAGCAGATTCTACTGCAGCAGCATCAGCAGCAGCAGCAGTTGCTGCAGCAGCAGCGACAACCGCAGCAGCAAATGCCAGTGCTTCAAGCGCAGCACTATGTGCAGCAGCAACCATACCAACACCTGCAGCAGCAGCAGCAGCAGCAGCAGCAGCAGCAACAGCAGCAGCAGCAGCAGCAGCAGCTGCCGTTACTGCTTCACAACGTGCCGCTGCCTTTCCTTTGTCCAGGAGCTGAACCCTCTTTTGGGGGGCCCCCCTTGCAGCTGGGTGCTGCTAGGGGGGCCCCCCTGGGGGCCCCCCTGGGGGCCCCCTATGTACCCTCTGTTCCTGTGTCTCAGATGTACGGGCAGCAGGTGCCGTGTGGATCAGCTGCTGCGCCTCCTGCTGCTGCTGCTGCTGCTGCAGCAGCAGCAGCAGCAGCAGCACTTGCGCCCATGTACAACAGCAGCAGCAGCAA